TTCTACGTTCTCACATAAAGTTTTATCTTTCCATTCTTCCTCTTATTCTTTTTTTAGGGCAGATGAATGGCTTATCTTGGATTTTTTTCTCTTAAAGTGCCTGGATCATCATGAAGTTTTATTTCCAATGAACATCAGAACCTTTTTATCAGGCAAATAAATAACGCCTCTCCTGGCCAGGGCTTTTGACACTGTTAATACGGGACTTGGCAGTGCTCTCGTGGTTCAGAACAGGGGCCTGACCAGCTGAGGCTTTGGGGGTGAAAGTAGGGAGACATTTTCTTCCCCTGGAGTTGGGGGGGCAGTGGTCATCTGTGGGATTTGGGAAAGCTGGGTCCTTATCACACTACTGCTGGTGGCTGCCTGTGGGAAAATCTTTTCCTCTCTCTCTGCCTCAGTCTTTCCATGAGCAAAAAAGAAGGAATTCAGCTTTTCCATCCACAAAAAAGAAGGAACATCCGCAAAAGAGGAGCCTTCAATCTAAAGGCTATGGATCTAAAATTGTTTTTTATGCCTATTCATGAGAGTCTTAATAATAATAATAGTAAAAGCTAACACTTATTGAGTGCTTACTACTATGCTAAAAGTAGTTGACATTGATTGAGTACTTAATCATAATATTTATGTTACTAGTAGCTAACATTTATTATAAACCAGGCACTATTTAAAGCATTTTACGTGTACTAACTCATTTATATGCACCCTAGGAGGTAGGAACCGTTCTTATCCCCATTTTACAGATGAGCAGACAGAGGCCCAGAAAGCTGAAGTTACATTCTGCAAGTCACAGGGCCAGGAAGTGATGGGGTAGGAGGGTGACTGCTGGCTCCAGAGTCCTTGCCCTCCAGGCTGTGCTATCATTGCGACCTTCAATGTTTATCTTTCTCAAAAACTCTTCTTGGTACATTGTTAGGGACAGCCACCTGTCCTTGTCATTCTGCCTCTTTCAATAATAGTAGCAGATATAATGACAAGGATGATGATAGTGATATTAGTAGTAATAATAACAGCAAGAGTAATTATACGCACTGATCCTTACTACATACAGAGTCCTGTGCTAAACATTTTATTCCGCCTAAAATCTCTTCGGTGGCCTCCCATTCCCCTGACGGACCCAGCTGACCCAGCACTGTCTTCAATTTCCTTGTCTGCCACGTTCTCTTCTCTCTCCATGTCCTGCAAATTGGCCTCCTTCTGGTCCACCCCAGGGCCTTTGCACATACTGTTCTGTGCTGGGAATCTCCCTTCTCAGATTGTTCCTCTGGGAAACCTGACCTTAAACCCTAGGCTGGGAGCAGTTTTTTGGTCATATGTCCCAGAATGCCCCAGACAACTTCATCTGTAGTTACTTGATCGAGTCCACAGCATGGACTTAGAATACAGTAAGC